AGTTCAGTTACTTTTCTTCCTCTGCATTGGGGGGGGAGGGGGGAGGAGAGAGGGAGGGGAGAGAGAGAGAGAGAGAGAGAGAGAAACTTTGAAAAGACCTTTGGGATCTGTTCTTGTTAGGCCCGGTTTCACCAACGCGAGTTAAGCCCGCTGCAGACGATGCTATTTTTCCTGCTGGATTGCTTGCAATTTAGTAAATTACTAGGAATCCTGAATGCTGAGTGGTGCAATGATAGTAATTTACTAAATTGCAAGCAATCCAGCAGGAAAAATAGCATCGTCTGCAGCGGGCTTAAGACAAACTTCTTGCACGGCTCATTCTTCTCTTTTTCTTGCGAATGTGAGGAATAGAAAGGAGAATCTTTGCACGAACGGTTTCTCTCCCACGATTTCTAGTAATTTACTAAATCGCAAGCAATCCAGCAGAAAAGAACAGACCTGTGAATTCACTTTTAGATTACCGACAGTTGGGTAGCCTGGCGGCTGCGCGGTTGTCTGTTGTCACGGTTTCCCGTGGACGGGAGGGGGACGAGTGTTTGACGTTTGCCTGGGGAAGCGTAGCCTGCGTAGCGGGGATCTCGTCGTCTCGGCTGTCGCTCGGTCGTGTCGACATGCTGACGTCTCTACGTCGAGCTTGCGGGCTCTTCGTGAGTAATAAACCCGCTGTGGATTCGCCGACGTCGCACTCGCTCGGCAGTTTTCTCCACCGCCCTAACCTCAAACACCTTACATAATCCTCGATTTTCAATTGCACGGCTCGACCTGGTGGAACACTTCGTTCTTCTTGAACGATCTTAATTAATGCGAAATACTTGACGTCCCTAGGAGAAAATTGTATCTGTATTTAATGCAAAACATGCGGGCGATATTTAACGAAGGGTACCTTTTTTTTTTACATACCTATTTCACTTATCTTCGTCCGCGTTAATTTTACTATCAAGCTCGCGAGAGCCAGACTGGATCAATGAGGTGTAAGACAAAAGTAGTTTCGATCTCTTCTCTCCGTAAAGTTTGCGCATTCGTCACCTGTCGCTTGATCCACCGCTTGACTCCTGTATTTAAGATGATTTTTGTTCCCGGCAGGCTCCAAGAAACGTCAGGGGAGTGCAAACAACGGTGGGCCGCGCGTCGGATCAGCTGTTCGTCGTACGTAATGACAGTAGACAGCGATAACAGTGTGTCGCAATCGGGCTGTTACACGCGACATTAACATTTCAGCACAGAGACAGCGAGCACGACAATCCCAGCACGCCGTTCGATTTCAACGAGGCGAACAAGAAGCGGATCGAGGCGCTGCTCGCGATGTATCCCGAGGGGCACAAGCGCAGCGCGATGATACCGCTGCTGGATCTGGCGCAGCGGCAGCACGGCTGGCTGCCCATCTCCGCCATGCACAAGGTCGCCGAGATACTGGAGGTGTCGCGCATGCGGGTGTACGAGGTCGCCACGTTCTACACGATGTTCAATCGCCGGCCCATAGGCAAGTATCACGTGCAGATCTGCACGTGCACCCCGTGCTGGCTGAGGGACTCGGACTCGATAGTCAGCGCCGTGACGAAGGCCACGGGCTGCGAGCTCGGCGGCACCTCCGCGGACAAGCAGTTCACCGTCTCGGAAGTCGAGTGCCTGGGCGCTTGCGCCAACGCGCCGATGTTCCAAGTGAACGACGATTATTACGTGAGTATATTTACATTTGTGGGCTGCCCCGAGCAGAACGGATGGCCCGAACGGCCTGTGTCTACGATGCTAGAACCTGGCTTTCATGGAATAGCCGCAAGTTGGCTACACATTTCTCGAAACTAGAACTTGGACCGAGTTCTAGCATCGTGGACGCAGGCCTTTAAAGCAGTGTTTCATGTTTTAAATCGTCTCGTCTAACACTTTAATCTACAATGTACGCGTTTAGAAGCATTCAATTTTATTAGGCGAATCGAAACGCTTGAAAACTTGGTTGACGAGGTGAGATTGTACGATTTATGGATACTTGCACAATTTTTCAAACATATTTATTGGCTACGAAATAGACTGTTCCTAGACGCAAAGAGCACAGTGTAGACCAGGCTTTAAAGTAACGCACGATAACTGTCGAGTTTGAGGACAGCCGTTCCGTTCAGGCTCTATCTCTTTTAGGAACGACGACAGTTTTTCATATCTTCTCTCTTGCAGGAGGACTTGACTCCGGAGACAGCGACGGCTGTAATAAACGCTTTCAAGAAGGGCGAGAGACCGGAGCCGGGCCCGCAGAACTCTCCGAGATTCGCGGCCGACCCCGCCGGTGGACTTACGTCGTTAACGACTCCACCGCCGGGTCCTGGATTTGGAATTAGGTCGGACTTGTAAAATAAAGTGTGTTTTCGATAGGGCCGTAGCGTAACGAATGTAAAAAGGTTGTTAATAAACATATGCCGAAGTAGATTATCTCGTTGGCACATCCTCGCGCTAGTCGCGTACACGTACGCATGTATGATTTTATACTTGTTCTATGTACAGAAATGCTTTTTAATATCTAATGAATCTCCGAACTTAAAGCGCAGATTATTTTTCCCTCGATGAAGTACAGCTGTGTTCTAAGAAATGGAGCTTTGACTAGAAATTGTAAATTTAACTGTCGAAGAAAATTTGTTCTATGTTTGAAATTATTTTAAATATTCAAATCTACGTATGAAACGATTTTAAATCTCTGAATTCGAGATGCATGTTATTTTTCCCTTGATTAAGCACAGCTGTGTTCTAAAAAGTAAAGCTTTGACTAGAAATTGTAAATTTAACTGTCGAAGAAAATTTGTTCCATGTACGAAATGATTTTAAATATTTAAATCTACGTATGAGACGATTTTAAATGCATCTCTGAATTCGAGATGCATGTTATTTTGTTCCTTGACTAAGCGGTGTTCTAAAAAATAGAGCTTTGGCTAGAAATTGTAAATTTAACTGTCGAAGACAATTTGTTCCATGTATGAAACGATTTAAAATCTCTGAATTCGAGATGCATGTTATTTTTCCCTTGATTAAGCATAGCTGTGTTCTAAAAAGTAAAGCTTTTACTAGAAATTGTAAATTTAACTGTCGAAAAAAATTTGTTTCATGTACGAAACGATTTTAAATATTTAAATCTACGTATGAAACGATTTTAAATCTCAGAATTTGAGAGGCATATTATTAAGCATAACTTTCTGAAAAATAGAGCTTCGTTCAAATAACTAAAAATTGTAAATTTAACTGTTGAATGAGCATTTCTACTTTTATCATTATTGTAGGCTCAAAGAATTTTAAAACACACAAATATATTGTTATACAAGTAGATTAACGTATGTTTATAAAAATATTTAATGCGGTACAGCAAGGATCAGTAAATTCAATTTAATATAAACAGTATTCTCACGCTCTATCATATTTCAACATTTGTGCGTCGTGACTGCGTGTGTACGCAATTTCGAGAACCTTATATTGTTACAAACTTTCTTCCGTTATCTCCGCGTTAGAACGAACAAACCGTGATCAGTTCGCCGACAGCAGCCGACAGACGCGCGCACTTCGAGGTTCGAGTGCCGGGTCTGTAATTAGCGTAGCTTCGCTCGCGCTAAGATATCCCTGACGCCGAGCATATATGCGTCCAGCCGAGCGATGGACGAGCCCGTTGCGACGACCGAAAAATCGAAGAAGATAGAAGCCATAAACAAAGACACGATCCACCACATCTGCTCCGGCCAGGTGAGGTTAAGCGTGTTATTTACAAAAAGCGCGAGGCCCGGTCTGCAGGTCTCGGTCCGTTTTCTCTCACCCAGAGAGAAAAAGGATTGACATACAGTTCCAACTTCTGACCAACATTGTAGACCAGGCCTAGTTCGCTGTAAAGCAGTAGTGCGTAGGAGGATCCGAGATGTCACACGAATGTTTCATCAGGTGGTGCTCGACCTTGCGATCGCGATCAAGGAGCTGGTGGAGAACAGTTTGGACAGCGGTGCCACGGTGGTCGACGTCAAGCTCACCGATTATGGTAAAACGTGCATCAGCGTCAGTGACAACGGTAGCGGCGTTCTGGAGCAGGACTTCGAAGGCTTAGGTGGACACCTAGATCAAAATTATTACCAGTACTTTAAAGTCCGCTTCAAAAATTCTGTACCCGGGAGGTCCACCGTCGGAACTGGCATCTGGCAGATTTATAGAGTGCCAAAGTCAACTTGCACCTCCACAAGGGGCTCTCTTACAATATTTTTGTTATACTCCAAAGTTCGATTCAACGTGTTTCTTTGCGAAACAATTTCATCGCGTCTGATTGACTCCCTTCCTTCAAATATGTGATGTCGCCTAACGTCCCGTGACGGGCTCTCGTTGCCTTGGTATCTCATTTTTCTAATTTTCCAAAAAAGTAATCGTAAAATAAACCAGAACGTTCAGTGGAGACTTCAGAATTGTGTTCATCTTGTAGTTGCTTCTCGGGCACGGAATTTACTTACAGAAAGCGGAAAGTGCATTCAATTTCGAGTGTCTTCCATTGAGAGCCCTGGCGGAAAAAAGTTCTATAAATAACTGCAAAAAAATTGACTTGAAATAGAAATTTGTGGAAATTTTTATATCTTCGTTGAAACATTAATTTCTTTGTAAAAATGTCTACAAAATAGTACCGCAAATTACAATGTTCTCAAATCAAGAAATTATTGCAAGTAGTATTTCATGAAAATGTACAATTTTGTAAAAATTAGTACAAAACTTTACTAGTTTGAAAAATTTGAGAAACAAAATCTTACAGAATTAAAACATCCGCTTACTTGTAGAATATTACAAAACTTAACAAAGGTGTTCCAATTCTAGCATTTTCATGTTGATTTTTATAACACTTTTTAAATTTACGTAGAGTTTCTTAGACTCTGGCAGTATATTTTCTTTATCTTGTAGAATTTTGTAGAATTATTTCCGGCAGGGAGGATCAAGGGTGATTTTGACAATCGCGTTTCCTCTGTCGATCAGGCTTGAAACACCACACCTCGAAGCTTCGGGAGTTCACGGACCTGACCGAGGTAAATACATTTGGCTTCCGCGGCGAAGCGTTGAGCTCGCTGTGCGCCCTGTCCGAGCTGAGTGTCGTCACCAGGCACGCGTCGTGCGAGCACGGCTTCAAACTGGAGTTCGACCGGAGCGGCGTGCTCGCGAGGAGGGAACCGTGCGCCAGGGAAAGAGGCACCACGGTGCACGCGAGGAACATATTCAAGAATCTGCCCGTGCGAGCGAAGGAGTTTGAGAAGAACCTGAAGAGGGAGTACGCGCGAGCTCTCCAGGTCTTGTACAGCTACTGCCTGGTCTCCACCGGCGTCAAGATCACGTGTTCCAATGCGACGGCGGGGAAATCGCCCAGTCTGGTCGTGGCGACGAGGAACACCGACGACGTGCTGGACAACGTGAGCTCTGTGTTCGGCAAGAAGTCCCTGGACGGGGTTGCCAGGCTCGAATTGCAACCGCCGGACGAGACGGTGCTGCAAGAATACAGTTTGCCCAGTGACGCCGCGATAGACTTCGATTGGGAATGTTACGTGAGCACTTGCGAGCACACGGCTGGACGGTCCTCGCCCGACCGACAGTTCTTCTACGTCAACGGTCGGCCGTGCGACCTCACGAAGATCGGTAGACTGATCAACAGCGTGTACCACAGGTACAACAGCAAGCAGTACCCGTTTGTCTTTTTCAATATCAAATTAGATCGGCAGTGCGCCGACGTTAACGTCACTCCCGACAAGAGGACAATATTTGTCACGCAGGAGCGCCTCGCGCTAGCGACGCTCAAGCACAGTTTAACGACCAAGTGGGACAAGCTGCAAGGTAATTTTACGGTCAAGACTTTAACGGAATTGAATTTCGGCCTGAAAAGGACAATCTCGCCCAGTCGCGCGCACCCGCCGGCTAAGAGATTGCAGGCGTCACCTTCGGCGGCGCATACCGCGAGGGAGAAGGATATTCAGACTAACATTAAGTCCATGAAAAAGCCCGTGGATGTAGAAATGGTGATCAGTGCGGTGACGATAAGAGAAAAATTACACGAGAGAAAGAATGTTGCTGGAGCACCTGCCAGTACAGCTAAAAGGGTAAAATATAGAGTACAAATGGATGCTAATCAAGGCGAGGCTGAAAAAGAACTGCAAAGAGAATTGACGAGAGATTCATTCGGCGAGGTTGGTAAAACATACATATATATTTTTTTTTACTACACGCAATCACTATTGCACATAAAAATATAACTTACTGCGTAATATATTAACACCGGAACATTGTGTACATTTATGTCTTGAACGTAGAAATCTTTTATAGATGGAGATAATAGGTCAATTTAATCTTGGTTTCATAATAGCTCGCTTAGAGGATGATCTATTTATCATCGATCAGCACGCCACCGACGAAAAGTTTCGCTTCGAGAAGCTCAGCAACGAAACGAAGCTGAAAACTCAAAAGCTCATTGTATCGAAACCGTTAAATTTCTCTGCGCTGAACGAGACTATAGTTATAGAACATCAGCAAACGTTCGAAGACAATGGGTTTACCTTCAATATCAATGAGCACGGTATAAACGCACGTTCACCTTTTCGTAATTGTTATACAGTTAGTTCGATGATGCTGTGACTGCGCTCAGCGGAGAGAGCAGCTTATTAAGCGCTTCGCGCGGTGCTGTTGAGTTTTCATTGCACGGCACTTTGCGGTTTACGCTTGTCCAACATTTATTTAATTAATAGCAAAATCCGGAAAAACAAAACGCAAAAGATATCAAGAAGTAACATCAAAATAACGCAAAAAGAATGCCAAAAAATTACATCAAAATGTCACACCTCTATTAATTAATGGTCCCCAGCGTATGAAAAATATGTTGGAAAAGTGTAAATCGCTAGTGCCGTTCAGCAGAAAATTTTTTACGGTAGCTGCAAAGCAACTTTTTCTGCTGAACGCAGCAGAGTAGATTAAGCCACAAAGATATTAGTGAAATGTTAGAATGTGAAAATGACGAGACATCAAATTTTCTATACCGTGTAACTGTTTTTTTACAATTTTCAGCTGAACCTGGCAGGAAGATAGAGTTGATAGGAATGCCTGTCAGCGGTAATTGGCAGTTTGGCCAGGAGGATATCGAGGAATTGGTATTTCTTATCAGAGAAGCGGGCAACGAAAACAAGGAAAGGCATATTTATCGCCCGAGCCGTGTCAGGCAGATGTTGGCGTCCAGAGCATGTCGCGGCGCGGTCATGATCGGCACGGCGTTAAACGCGAGCGAGATGCAGAGGCTGGTGACGCAGATGGCACAAATGCAGAATCCATGGAACTGTCCGCACGGGCGGCCCACCATGAGACACCTGTTATCCTTACTACTAATAAACAAATAATCTGTGATATTTTGACAAACGTACAAAGACACTTGTGTTTACGCACACGCATACAGGCAGATAATTCCTTATCCAAGTTGATTTTTTTATTGAATTCTCGATTGTAAAAATTTAAAAAACTTAAATAAGAATAAAACCGACTTGAGAAACGAGATTTTGTAGATATATTTTGCGTAAGCTTCGTCCTTCATACAGCCTCTTAAATGTAGTACTTTATATTATCCTAGAAAGTCTGATGCTCTGTTATACACTGATCGTGCGGAATACGTTAAATCCTGAATGCGCGGTCGATACTATAGTCCCTGGGCATTGCGGGTGCCAGTGCAACTCTTTGATGTCCGACTGACCCTGATGTATGAACAGCAACTGCGGCGGCAACTTGGCCAACACGCTGTCCTGAGGTTGCTCCGCCTCGTCTGCCTCCACCGACAGATCCCACTGAGCGATCTGGTCGTCGGCACCGCCAGAAGCGAACACCGTGGACTCCGTGGGATGCCACTCCACGGTGGTGACCGGCGCGGTGTGTTGCTTGAAAGTAGCGAGCGGGCTCGCGCCGTCAGCTCCGAACCGTCGCAGATCCCATACGTGGAGCAGCCCGTCGTCGCCGCCCGATACCATAAACTGGCTCTCCGTCGGGTTCCACGAGATAACGTTGACATCGGCCGTGTGTGCGTCATGCACCGTCAGCATGCACGCGTTCTGTGCACTCGCTCGCATATCCCAGATCCTTATGCTGGAACAAATTGGCCCTTGTAACAATTTGCGAGGTGGCAAACATTAAATTCGTAATTCGAGTCGGCGAAAGCACGTACGTATCTCGTAACATGAGAGTTACCTTTTGTCCACGGAACACGACGCCAGAACGTTCTTTTCATTCGGCGACCACTGCAAATCCTCGACGCTGTGCAGGGCGTGAGAATTGTACGGCCTCTGGTCCACATACCAGGACGTGCCGCTGCTGTCGATGCGCCATATGTGAATGTTACCCTTGCAGTCGCCGGACGCTAGAGTGCCCGGCTCCGTGCGGCTCCAATCGAGGCCGAATCCTTCGGATAGATGCCCTTTAAACGTGTAAATCGGTTTAATGTCCGCATTCTTGTCATACTTATTACGATACGTGGCCAGCAGGCTGGGGATCTCGACCGCGTTCAGCTGCTCCTGCAAGTTCCAGATATTTACACGTCCCAGTTCGCTCCAGCTGGCGGCTAGCATTGCCCCATTCAGCTTCGTGCATCTGTAAACGTTACGGATGAACATGTCTGTAGACACACGGCCCTGAACAAAATCACTAGGGAAGATCTTTCAGGTTTAAAAGTGGCTTACCGTATAGAAACAATGAACGCTCCAGTAAACCACTTTTAAAAAATCTTGTTGCTATTAGATTCAGTACAATATAATTCGATCACGAGGGCAGCTAGTAATTTTGTCTAGAGCTGTGTCTTCCAGATCTCGGCTACTCACCTCAACCTGTTAATACACCCGTGGTGTCTTATAGGAGCGACGCTCATCACCGGCTTACGCTCGTCGCTCTCGTCCTCCGAGTCGCTCGATTCGCTGTCCGAATCCTCGGAGCGCTGCTCGCTACCGTGCAAATTGGACATCTTCATGACGAGCAGCTTGTTGACGTGCGCCTTCGCGGCCTGCGTCCCGGCAACTATGTACATGCTTAGAGGGTAACTCTCTCGGGTGCCGCCCAGGTCGTCCGGTATCACGTCGAAGGTGAGGCACGGCGCTCCGGATTGCGCGTAGTGCAACAGTCTGTACGCCGACTTGTCCACGGCGAGCTCCTCGCCCACTTGCAGAGCCTGTCCCGGAAGGTATACCCTCGACGCGGCCTCCTCGCGGCTCTCGTTCGCGTCCTCCTCTTCCATGGACTCGTCGCTGCTCTCGTCCTCGCTCGCGACACCCTCCATCGGCTCCTCCCTTATCTCCTCGGACATCCCTGAAACGAACAGATATTGCGTAAAAGTTAGCAAGAGTAATTGCATGAGTTTTTGGTGAAATGTATCAAAGAATCCGCGTTCTCCGTTGGAACATTGGGTGCATCCAGAAGCACGACCGCTCGTATCCGACTGATGTATATTTTCCAATCTAAAAGAATACGCCGGTCGGATACAGGAGCTCAATTGAGCGCACGGTGAGAGGTCGTGCTTCTGGATGCACCCATTGATACACGTGTGAGTCACGTATCCTAACCTCGGAGATTGTTGATCGAGATATTATAAGATTAGCGAGCTGCGTTAAGTGGACGTATTTCCAATTCAATGCACTTACTTAAACAAGTGTGACGACGGGTCTCTTATCAATTAACGATTATCCTTTCCTTTTTGAGTGCGAGATTAAATAAACTCGCTTTACCCGCGGAGCGACCGTCACGAGATCGTGGACAGCATGGACACGTGCGCGATCTTGTATACAGTCTCCACGGTGGTGGGGGTGGGTCGCTTAAGGCCAATGTCCACGATTCTAGTTTCGAGAAACGTGTAGCCAATCAACTTGCAGCTTTTATGGAATAGCTGCACATTGATTGGTTACAGATTTCTCGAAACTAGAACTTGGACCAAGTTCTAGCATCGTGGACATTGGCCTTTAGCAAGGCAGTTTTGTAGTTCTTGTAAAGGCCTGTGTCCACGATGCTAGTTTCGAGAAATCTGTAACCAATCAATGTGCAGCTATTCCATAAAAGCTGCAAGTTGATTGGCTACACGTTTCTCGAAACTAGAACTTGGACCAAGTTCTAGTTCCGAGAAATGTGTGGCCAATCAACTTGTAGCTATTCCATAAAAGCTGCAAGTTCATTGGCTACACATTTCTCGGAACTGGAACTTGGATCAAGTTTTAGCACCGTGGACACAGGCCTTTAAGCCCGTATCAGGGTACTATTACATTTGTCGTACGACAAATGTAAAGCCCGTATCAGACTACGGATTGAGATTGGGATTAGATTGAAATTTGACCAATCGGAGTAAAAGTTACTGAACTTAAGATTAGTAAACTTTACTCTGATTGGTTAAATTTCAATCTAATCCCAATCTCAATCCGTAGTCTGATACGGGCTTTAATGGCCACTAGCGTTGCAGTCCATCTTCTTTTTCAAGCGGGGAGCGCACACTTTTGCATAAAGTGCATAAACATGTGCATAACAAATTTGATTGATCCATTTCCTTGTGTATTTGCTTATAGGGCCATCGCACACAAAATTGCATAGCTGCATATGCATAGCATAAAGCCCGTATCAGACTACGGATTGGGATTGGGATTAGATTGAAATTTGACCAATCAGAGTAAAAGTTACTGAACTTGAGATTAGTAAACTTTACTGTGATTGGTTAAATTTCAATCTAATCCCAATCCCAATCTATAGTCTGATACGGGCTTAAGTCAATATGGCGACTCAATGCTCGGTATTCATTGGTTTAAACGGTTTTCATGCTATGCAATTTTGTGTGTGATGGCCCTTATAGCACAGTATAACCAGTATGCCCACTCG